CCGCCTGCCCTGCAGGGACAGCATCATCATCAGCATCACCAACTGCGCCACCAGCGTCTATGCCGGCTTCGTCATCTTCTCCATCCTGGGCTTCATGGCCCAGCACCTGGGCGTGGACGTCTCCCAGGTGGCCGACCACGGGCCCGGCCTGGCCTTCGTGGCCTACCCCGAGGCCCTGACCCTGCTGCCCATCTCGCCCCTCTGGTCCGTCCTCTTCTTCTTCATGCTCATCCTGCTGGGGCTGGGCACGCAGGTACCAGGGCCTGGGGAAAGTGGGGGCCGCAGGGGGGTCGGGAGGGCAGAGGGGGAGAGTGGGGGGTGCAGGGGGGTGGGGAGGGCAGGGGGTGAGGGGAGGGGCCCCAGGGGGACAGAGAGGGCAGAGGGGGTTGAGGGCAGTCGGGGGGGGGGGGGGCAGCGGGCCCAGGCCAGGCACTGGCTGACCCTGGCTCCCTGCCTAGTTCTGCCTGCTGGAGACACTGGTGACGGCCATTGTGGATGAGGTGGGGAACGACTGGATCATCCGCAGGAAGATGTTTGTGACGCTGGGCATGGCTGTGGTGGGCTTCCTGCTGGGCATCCCACTCACCACCCAGGTACGGGCACGGGGCTCGCTGCCGGGCGTCCCGCTCGTCACCCAGATACTGGCACGGGGCTCCCTGCTGGGCGTCCCACTCACCACCCAGGTACGGGCACGGGGCTCGCTGCCGGGCGTCCCGCTCGTCACCCAGGTACGGGCACGGGGCTGCCCTGGGGGGGGGGGAGCAAGAGGCCTTGCCCTGCTGGGCCCCCTTCAACCCGCCCCCACTGTCCCCCAGCCCCCTTCCTTCCTGCCCCCTCGGTCTGTCTGCTCCCCGCCCATGGCCTCAGAGTGGGAGTGTTACGGACCCTGCCCGGCAGTGTAGCAGAGAGGGAGCCGGAGACATGGGCCTGGCGTGAGGCCTGAACCGAAGCAGGGGGCAGGCCGAGCCTGGCTGGTGGAAAGCAGCGAGCAGAACTCCGGGTGTTGGCGATACCAGCCCGGCTCCTGCCAGGTTTGGTGTGTGCAGGCAGGCACCAGCTGGTCCCCGTCGTACGCCCGCTGCATCTCCTCCCCTCCCTTCCCAGAGGGCCATGCCTGTGCGATGCTGGGCTGGGTGGCGATTCCC